TTGTTTCTATTATTACTGTTATTATCAACTTTCTCCTCTACCGTAATGCTATTTTTGGTGAATGGTATTCCGACTATTACCCCATCATCGTCATTATCATCATCATTATCAACATCCACTCAACTACCATTATCATCATCACCGCCTAATTTTTCAAATGATTTGAAAGATTCGACATTTCCAGTTTTGCTAACACAATTGGAGCACATCGAGGATGCAAATTGTGAAAGCCTTCTTGCATTGCCAAATTTGCATCGTTTATTGGAGCATGAATTAAAGCGTAACAATCCACAACTTTTACTTCTGGCGCAATTAATTGCTCAAAATCCTCATTCACATTTACTTCATCTTCCTGAAAATGCTTCTTTAATTTTGGATTCACCATTAGCATATAACCTTTCGACACCATTATTCGTTTTACAGCTACATTGCAGCCAAATTGGTGATGATCCATTGCAGCAATGGATACCGCTACTTATTTATCCAACTTCTGCTCTTAATTTTTATTTAACTGTACGTCTACGACCATTTGATTTAAACGCCTGTACATTACCACAATGCAGCAATACAAAGGTTATTTCAAGTTAATCATTTTATTTTTCATTTTTCCACTTCCGATTATCTTGCTCAAAATAACAAAGTAAGATCAGTATTGTTGGAGGAAAACTTTTTTTTTTGTCTCAATGCTATTACGGGATGTAAGTCGTGTTAACTTTTGCTTAAGTATTACTTAGTAAGATTAATTAAAGCAATGTCACATTTCATTTGTTTCAGTTTAATTTTTCTTAGTTGAATAAATTGACAGAGGAGAAAGAAGATGTGAGATAAAAAGATCAATAATAATTGTTGTGAGTGTGAAAGAGAATTTTTAAAAAGTATACTAATTCATTCTTTAAAATTATTTTTGTTTTATATTTCATCAGCTATACTTATAACCATTCAATCTCTTTTCATTAAAAGATGACAACGAAGCAAATTTTCAACTTGTTCAGTATAACTTCAACTTCTTTTATTCTTAATTAAAATTTCGGTTTAAGCATTTGAAAAAAAAAACTTGATTCAAACTTTTTTAGCAACCATCAAATTCATGTGTTTAATTTTTATCTTTTTTAAAATTTACTCTTTTCAAAATTTTTATAACTATTATCACTTTTATTATTGATTTCAAAAAAGTATTTAGAATATTTAAACAAAAAAAAAGAATAAATTGCTTGTTTGTCATTTTTTAATGAAAAAATATATTAATTTCTGAATATTTCAACAAAAAAAAAAAATTAAAAAACGGAAAGTACTCTGCCAATAATGTCCGAAATGTTGCGGGGAACCATTTCATGCAACAGTGAATATGTTTATTTTCATTCTTCATTAATTTCTTGAAGACATTTTGTCTCATTTAAATTTTCTAACATTCATGCTATCGGGAAGTCTAACATGCAATAATGGCTTTCAATTATGTAAAAAAAAATTTTTTTTTTCTCTCTTATTTCAGTCAGTTAATTTTTTTTCAACATT